CATCCATCTACTATCTATCTATTCATCCATCCATGGAAAGATAGATAGTAGCCAGCCATCTGTCTATCCATTCATCCATTTTTCCATCCATCCATCCATCCATCTACTATCTATCCAGCCATCTGTCTATCTACCTGTCTACCTCTCTACCTCTCTACCTCTCTATCTATCTATCTATCTATCTATCTATCTATCTATCTATCTATCTATCTATCTATCTATCTATCTATCTATCTATCTATCTATCTATCTATCTATCTATCTATCCATCCGTCCATCCGTCCATCTGTCTATCCATCCATCCATCCATCTACTATCTATCTATTCATCCATCCATGGAAAGATAGATAGTAGCCAGCCATCTGTCTATCCATTCATCCATTTTTCCATCCATCCATTCATCCATCTACTATCTATCCAGCCATCTATCTATCTATCTATCCGTCCGTCCGTCCGTCCGTCCGTCCATCCATCCATCCATCCATCTATCCATCTACTATCTATCTATTCATCCATCCATGGAAAGATAGATAGTAGCCAGCCATCTGTCTATCCATTCATCCATTTTTCCATCCATCCATCCATCCATCCATCCATCCATCCATCTACTATCTATCCAGCCATCTGTCTATCTACCTGTCTACCTGTCTATCTATCTATCTGTCTGTCCGTCCGTCCGTCCGTCCATTCATCCATCCATCCATCCATCCATCTACTATCTATCTATTCATCCATCAATGGAAAGATAGATAGTAGCCAGCCATCTGTCTATCCATTCATCCATTTATCCATCCACCCATCGATCCATCCATCTATCCATCCATCCATCCACTATCTATCTATCTATCCAGCCATCTGTCTATCTACCTGTCCATCTACCTGTCCATCTACCTGTCCATCTATCTATCTATCTATCTATCTATCTATCTATCTATCTATCTATCTATCTATCTATCTATCTATCTATCTATCTATCTATCTATCTATCTATCTATCTATCTATCTATCTATCTATCTATCTATCCATCCGTCCATCTGTCTATCCATCCATCCATCCATCTACTATCTATCTATTCATCCATCCATGGAAAGATAGATAGTAGCCAGCCATCTGTCTATCCATTCATCCATTTTTCCATCCATCCATCCATCCATCCATCCATCTACTATCTATCCAGCCATCTATCTATCTATCTATCCGTCCGTCCGTCCGTCCGTCCATCCATCCATCCATCCATCCGTCCATCCGTCCGTCCGTCCGTCCGTCCGTCCGTCCGTCCATCCATCCATCCATCCATCTATCCATCTACTATCTATCTATTCATCCATCCATGGAAAGATAGATAGTAGCCAGCCATCTGTCTATCCATTCATCCATTTTTCCATCCATCCATCCATCCATCCATCTACTATCTATCCAGCCATCTGTCTATCTACCTGTCTACCTGTCTATCTATCTATCTGTCTGTCCGTCCGTCCGTCCGTCCATCCATCCATCCATCCATCCATCCATCCATCTACTATCTATCTATTCATCCATCAATGGAAAGATAGATAGTAGCCAGCCATCTGTCTATCCATTCATCCATTTATCCATCCACCCATCGATCCATCCATCTATCCATCCATCCATCCACTATCTATCTATCTATCCAGCCATCTGTCTATCTACCTGTCCATCTACCTGTCCATCTATCTATCTATCTATCTATCTATCTATCTATCTATCTATCTATCTATCTATCTATCTATCTATCTATCTATCTATCTATCCATCCATCCATCCATCCATCCATCCATCCATCCATCCATCCATCCATCCATCCATCCATCCATCCATCCTTCCATCCATCCACCCATCCATCTTCTACTTTGTTCTAGTCACTTGTTTAGTAACACACTTCTTAGTACAGGAGTGTAGTACACACACACACACACACACACACACACACACACACACACACACACACACACACACACACACACACACACACACACACACACACACACACACACACACACACACACACACACACACACACACACACACACACACACACACACAGTAGGCAGCATAACCATGCTGACTGATTACTTTTTGGAAGAGTTATCGGCAGTGAACTTATAATGCCTTAAAATACAAACTGGGTTTTGAAGCAGAGCCATTTAGAATACTAAACAGGAGATCAGTTGTTAAGATCAGTATAATATGCTATTTATTGTTCCAAGTGGAGGATTAATCTGAATTAATCTTTAACTAGCCGTGTGAAATTGGCTTGAAATAAATGGCCTAAGATGAAAGGGCAAGTGAAAATAAATCCAGCCCAAGTCTTGCTATCAAAAGTTTGATCTTCTGCTGATAAATGACGACCTGTTGAAAGGCCACTTTCTGAGGAGTTTAGCATTTTTATGATTAAATCACTAGCTTAAGTAAATTTCAGCGTTATACAAAGGATGCTTGAGAAGTTTTCCCAGTTGAAGTTTTTCGTTGATTGACAGCTGTGAGAAGAGGGTCAAAGGTCTTACAGCCTTCTCAGCATTATCTTATCTTCAAGTTGACTGTACTAATGACCCTAATGTGTGTCTGTTGGCTGCGAGTGGAGAACAGGTGGTCTGACTTCTGGCTTGGATCAGGACAGCCGATCCTCTGGTCTTCCCCAGATAACACTACACTCGGGAGTGAAGGACTATCACTGTTATTGCAGTCTTCTGCTCTCTGAAGTGGGAATGGCCAAAGTGCCCCGTTCTCCAGAGAGACTGTCAAACATTTACTTAAATGGTTTATGGAAACCGATTTCCTTGATGAGTTTGAGAGGCTGATTTCATTTGGATGCGTATCTTGTGTTATCATTGGAAAGTACACAAGTAAATTACATAAATGAGTCACAGCAATCGTTGTCTATCATCTCTGTGGTCATGTACGCATGAACGATCTAAAAACTTTAGAAGGAACCATTTTAAAACTTAGCATAAATATTACTAAAATTGGTGTTTAATAGTTAATTGATCCAGTAGTCCAGCCTGAGATCATATACTATAAGGACTGCAGCTTATAGAGCTGAAGATTCAACAGTGTGTTAATATATATATATTAATAATATAATATAATATAATATAATGAATTTCATTAAAAACAATTCAACAACAATTCACAAAAATCCAAAGCCTACGCCAACACTGTGGAAGCTTGTTTCCACCACAGAATGGAAAATAAAAAAGATAATTGCGACTTTTTATCTCACAATTCTGACTTTATTTCTCAGAATTGCAAGATATCATGTCAGAAATGCAAGATATAAAGTCAAAATTGTGAGATATAAAGTCGAAATTGCGTGTTGTAAAGTCAGAAATGCATGATATGAAGTCGAAATTAAGATAAAAAGTCTAAATTCTCTTTTTTTCTCTGAATTGTGACTTTATTTCTCACAATTGCGACTTTATATCTTGAAATTGTGACTTTATTTCTCAGAAATGCGACTTTATTTCTCAGAATTGCGACCTTATATCTGACAATTGCGCCTTTATATCTGACAATTGTGACTTTATTTCTCACAATTGCAACTTTATATCTCGAAATTGTGACTTTATTTCTCAGAATTGCGACCTTATATCTCACAATTGCGACTTTATATCTCAGAATTGCGACTTTATTTCTCACAATTGCGATCTTATATCTGACAATTGCGACTTTATATCTGACAATTACGAGTTTATTTCTCAGAATTGCGACTATTTCTCAGAATTGCGATCTTATATCTGACAATTGCGACCTTATATCTCACAATTGCGACCTTATATCTGACAATTGTGACTTTATATTTCACAATTGTGACTTTTTATCTCAGAATTGCGACCTTATATCTGACAATTGTGACTTTATATTTCACAATTGTGACTTTTTATCTCAGAATTGCGACCTTATATCTGACAATTGTGACTTTATATTTCACAATTGTGACTTTTTTTCTCAGAATTGCGACCTTATATCTGACAATTGTGACTATATCTCGAAATTGTGACTTTATTTCTCAGAATTGTGACTTTATATCTCGAAATTGTGACTTTATATCTCGAAATTGTGACTTTATTTCTCACAATTCTGACTTCATATCTCGCAATTGTGAGATAAAGTCACAATTATTTTTTATTTTTTATTTTTTATTCAGTGGCGTAAACAAGCTTCCATACAATGCTGACAACTGTTTCTGTTTTAAAAATACATTTATTATTGAGCAACCCCTGGGTTGTTGACTGGTTTGATGTAGCTGTTAATGCAAATGGAAAAATAATCCAAAATGGGAAAAAAAATGCACACTAAAAAAGCATTTAAAAGGGTGAAACAAGCTAAAAAATGTAAAATAATAATAATATATGACTGTCTGACTTTACATCAATACACTATGCCAGACTGTTTCGATTATCGCAAGTCATTTTGGAGCAGATATTGATCCTATAGTAGACCAACAGAAACATATTGCCTGTATTTATGGTGTTTCAGTCCTCATGCACTATACACCCCTACATCTCTGTTATTGTGGTACACGTGTCTTCCATTAACACAATTTGTAGACCCTTGCGTTCAGTTGTACTATATTGTCCACAGAGACACCTGTCTCAGCCTTTCTCTGTGTCTCTCGCTCCTGCAGGTTTGGTCCAGTGTGGCACGTGGCTTTTGTCTTGCTAATGCTCTCTGAGAGCCCTCTGCTGCCCATGTTCAGGTGGAAATTGAATGCTTGATGCTTTTTATTTGCGCCACACAAAGACAGCACCTGCTGGCCCCGGAGCCCGGCTCTGACACACCGAGAGAGGGGACGGGGCCAACAAAACACTCTGTAATGCCATTATTTTGATATAATGTTAAGACTTCCTCGAGTCATTTCCATATGCTTTGTTCACCTTTGTGCCTCAGAATTGGTGGATGCTACCATAGGGATTACCAGTGGAAATGGTATTATTGCAAATGTATATGAAAATGATGGTTGACATTCATTGAAACGTACCGTCTTTGGCAGCCAAGCGAGGGGACTGGTCGGCATGAGATGGTGTGTTGTACGATATTGATGAGCTGCCTGAAACACACACAACAAACATACATTTTACAATGATAAAGGTGTATAGATAAGTAGTAATACATTCATTGAGGTTAAAAATCTGATTCTCTGACAAGACTTAAACATTTAGCTTTATATAATTAATATTATTATGTTTAATGTATTTGCAATGTATTATATATTATTATATAACACAATATTATAATATAAATAAACAAATATTCTTAATAAATAAATAATTATTATAAATGAATGCGCTTTATCTAATCAAAAAATGTGCCGACAGATTACAAGCAATATTACTAATTAAATTTAACAATAGAATTGAGTAATAATTTATCAAATTAATTAATTAAAAGTTAACCATTTAAAATGAGTAAAATGTTTTTTTTAGAAAGTATGTTTAAGTCACCATTATGGTGCTCAGCGTTGCTTTTAAATGACGGTTTTCTCTTTCAGTGATTCTGCTTGTTAACGTCAGGTGTCTTCAATGTTGGCAATATAAAATAAAGATAATATAAAATAATTCATCTTTGACGTCTTTCTGTTATTTAGATATTTTTGTTTATTTTTTTTGGTGTAAACTTTGCTCATTTTAAATGGTTAACTTTTAAGGAATATTTTGATTACGCATTACTCAATTTTAATTTGTTCAATTTAATTAATAATATTGTTTGAAATCTGTTGCCACAATTTTATTGATTAGATAAAGCATATTCATTTTTACAGTGTATATATCATATCATTAAATGATATAATAAAAACAAAATAATTCCACTCTTAAAATATTAAATTATTATTACATTTAATGAGGTTAAAATGCAGTTACATTCTATGACGATACTTATATAATGTTAGAAACAAATATTATATTTATTGTTATGCTTTTGCAAAAATTGTGACCATTGATGTGCTTTTGCCTTAGTTTTGAGGTTTATAAACATGTAATAACTATGTAATTACATGGTAACAAGCTATCTAATGGCATATTATATAACAAGGCACTTAATCAAGCATTGAAAATCTATCATTGATTCCCAACATTCATTTCTCTTCACACCAGCTCCTCGGTTTTGTCATTACAATCCAAACACAATCTACACTTCGCACAGAGAGAGGCATTCATGTGTAGAGAGTGTTTCCAGCGAGCCGTCCCTGAAGCGCTCTCTTCATTTTACCTGCTTTAACTCATAAATCAGCGCTAAGGAAAACAGAAGGAAAATTGCACTGGCAAAACACGAGTCTTCCTACTATACGGACGGAGCGGAGGAATTTCGGGATTCATTATTTTGTTCTGAATGAAGAAAAGGAAGGGGTGATATTTGTCGTTTTTCTTTGATCAGCTCAGAGAAGATAGGAGGGTGTTTTAATGTGTGTAAGTGTGTTTTTATGGGGGAGGAGAGCGCATTGAAGACATATTTTAACCTCCGGGCCCCTGAACCCCCCTGAGCGGTGATGTTGGGGCCACAGAACAGGCCAGGCTTTGTGTGGGGTGCGATCCGCACATGGCAATCAGAGACTGCTGTTCCTACACTGAAATAACCCCCACACATCCATGGAAGAAAGAGAGAAAACCAGCATCAAAAATAAAGACAAATGTTCTACAAAGTACAACATCTATCTATCTATCTATCTATCTATCTATCTATCTATCTATCTATCTATCTATCTATCTATCTATCTATCTATCTATCTATCTATCTATCTATCTATCTATCTATCTATCTATCTATCATCCATCCACCCATCTACATCCATCCATCTATCTACATCCGTCCATCCATCCGTCTATCTACATCCATCCATCCATCCGTCTATCTACGTCCATCCATCCGTCTATCTACATCCATCCATCTATCTACGTCCATCCATCCATCCATCCATCCATCTACATCCATCCATCCATCAATCTATCTTCATCCATCCATCCATCCATCCATCCATCCATCCATCCATCCATCTATCCATCTATGTCCATCCATCCATCCATCCATCTATGTCCATCCATCCATCCATCCATCAATCTATCTACATCCATCCATCTATGTACGTCCATCCATCCATCCATCTATCTATCTATATCCATTCATCCATCCATCCATCATCCATCTATCCATCTATATCCATCCATCCATCTACATCCATCTATGTCCATCCGTCCATCCATCCATCCATCCATCCATCCATCCATCTATCCATCCATCCATCCATCTATGTCCGTCCATCCATCCATTCATCTACATCCATCCATCCCTCCATCTATCTACATCCATCCATCCCTCCATCCATCCATCTACATCCATCCATCTATCTACGTCCATCCATCCATCCATCCATCCATCCATCCATCCACCTATCTACATCCATCCATCCACCTACGTCCATCCATCCATCCATCCATCCATCCATCCACCTACGTCCATCCATCCATCTATCTACATCCATCCATTCATACATCCATCCATCTACATCCATCCATCCATCCATCCCAATTTACATCTTTTTTACATTCACATTCGAATTGCAATTTGGCATCCTATCTCAATTCAAATGCTGCAGGTCAAGACCGCAAACTCGTCAGCACAGAAAACAGAAGAACAGCCGATGGGAGACAACAACAGTTCTCAGGTTTAATCCCAGGCTTTATAAGTTATGACTTAATCTTCCAGAAGCTGTACAGTAGAAATGTAGATCCAGAGATGCACAAAATCCCGCGACAGTATTCAGGAAGGTGCTGAAACATCCAACATAAGCGATAATCCATCACAAATGGAGATCAATAAAAGCTTGTGGGAAAGGGAGAGAGAGCTAGAGGGAAACAGAGAGAGAGAGGGGGGGTAGGCTGTTCATATGTTTATGGTCTGTGTAAACCATCAACGGTCTCTGAATATCCCACTCTGAATTATCACTGTGACCAGTCTGTCTCATAACTACAGCCAGACCTGCAGCAACTGTGTGTGTGTGTGTGTGTCTGTCTGTTAACTTTTTTCTTAGACCTTTCAACAACAATAAAACCCTGACAAATTTAGCTTTTCTAGTCAAAAATCATATGAGTCAATTCGTTCGTTTCGTTTGTTGAATGATAGATTTGTTCATTTTGATGAACGAGTTCACACAGGAGAGTCACGAACGCTCATCACAGAACAGAGCAAGGCGACCATTTGAGCTTATAAAACTTAAACTTTGTTATTTATATTTTTAAATGAGGGATCGTTTCACTTGATAAGACCCGTATTCATCGTCTGGAATGGTTTAAAGCCCTTTGAATAGTTTGCAGTTTGCACTGAAACTATCTTTTAGACCTTGAACCGTTTGGTTCCCATTGAAGTCCATTATATGGAGAAAAATCCTGGAATGTTTTCATCAAAAACATTAATTCCTTTTCGACTGAAAAAAGAAAGACGTGGACATCTTGGATGACAAGGGGGTGAGTAAATTATCAGCAAAAGTTTTTTTTTTTTTTAAGTGAACTACTCCTTTAATACAACAACCAGAAAGTGACCCTTTTTTATTTGAATTAAAAAAAAGAGTTCAGTAGCTGAAAACATTCATCACAGAAGAGCTGCCAGTGATTCAACAAGAGAATCACATCTTTGTGAGCATAAGCATGAATTTCTGTGCATATCTAGTCTTACTCCTGGAAGCGTTCTAACACATGCACACACACACCTTTCCAGTCTGTAAGTGTGTAAGTCGAGCTAAAGGCAGCAGTTCAGCACCGCTCCCCTCCTGCAATGAAATTCCAACAAATTCTCAAATTGCAGCCAAATTGAAAGCACATTGGAGAGGGGGCGGCAATCGCTAATAAAATCTGAATAACTGACCGACTGCGCAGTCAAAACAAAACCTCCTCCAGATATCATCACCATTGAGCTTCAGCATCACCAGCTCGGCTGGTTATGATGCGTGTGTGTGTGTGTGTGAGTCAGCGTTTGCCTGCAGTGTGACCAGAGGCGGTGTCCGTCCCTGCCCTGCTCCGCTGTGTATAGACGTAATAACACACAGAAATGTTAATCAGACCTCAGCATCTATATGTGTATGAAACGATTACACTGTGGACAGTCACATTCGCGGACAGCGGGGACCCGAAACACGTAGCAGGCCGAGGGAAGCAGGGTGTGTGTGTGTGTGTGGATGTGTGTGAGCAGAACCAGAGGGCTGTGATTGTGTTTGTTTGTGTTACAAGAGGAAAATGATCATCTTTGGTTTCTAAACCCGAGCCCCTGTGGCTCAAGAGAAAGTTAAACATGTGGTCCTACATACATGTACACACAATACATAACACATGCTACTCTTAAAGGGATAGTTCACCAAAAAATGTGCATTCTGTCATCATTTACTTTATTTTGAAGAATGTGTCAAACTCTTAATTGTAAAAGACTGTAAAAATGATTTATGTTAATTGGTGAATCCATATGAGACATACTGTTAAATAAACCGTTTTTGGAAGTGAAAAAGAACAAGTCATCTTATAATTACTGTAATAGTTAATTTACTCACCCCCATGTCATCCAAGATGTCCATGTCATTCTTTCTTCAGTCGAAAAGAAATGAAGGTTTTTGATGAAAACATTCCAACATTTTTCTCCATATAATGGACTTCAATGGGGTCCAAAAGATAGTTTCAGTGCAAACTGTTCAAAGGGCTTTAAACGAATAAGGGACGTATCAAGCAAAACAATCGCTCATTTAAAAAGAAAATTAAGAGTTAAATTTTTTTTTAACATTTTTTAAAAAAAGTTTATGTTTTATGAGCTCAAATGTTCGCCTTGCTCTGTTCTGCGATGCACGTTCAATCATGACTCCCCTGTTCCAACAAGTTCATCAAAATGAACGAATCTTTTTTACGAGTCAATTGGCGCACGTTCGTGACTCTCCTGTTCAAACAAGTTCATCAAAATGAACGAATCTTTTTCCAAGTCAATTCCTTTGTTTCGTTTGTTGAATGAACCAAATGACTCATAAAAATATTCGTTCATTTTGATGAACGAGTTCGAACTCACAGTCAGTCAGAGCAAGGCGACCATTTGAGCTCATAAAACTTAAACTTTGTTATTTTCTTTTTAAATGAGCGATCGTTTCACTTGATAAGACCCTTATTCATCGTCTTGAATCACTTAAAGCCCTTTGAACAATTTGCAGTTTGCACTGAAACTGTCTTTTTTTTACCTTGAGCCGTTTGGTTCCCAATGAAGTCCATTATATGGAGAAAATCCTGATCAAAAACCTTAATTTCTTTTCGACTGAAGAAAGAAAGACATGGACATCTTGGATGGCATGGGGGTGAGTAAATTATCAGCAAAAGCTTGTTTTTTTTTTTTTTTTTTTTTCAAAAGTGGACTACTCCTTTAATGATGTCTTATATAATTATTTACAGAAATTAGCATACATTTTCTGTGTATTTTTACAGTAAAGCAGCCTCAACTTGATTATGTTTTCAATATCATAAGAGTTTTTATTGTTCTTCTCTGGAACACAAAAGGAATATTTTTGAGGGGATACTATACTGCTTTGGACCTTATTATTGTAGACCACTGATTTTAAAACATCCACCCCAAAAATCAGGTTTGGATTGAAATGAGAAGTAAATGATGACAGACTTTTTATTTTGGGGGATGAACTAACTCTTATAAAGTCACAAACAGGTAAAAGGAACTCTAATATGTTTTGGCGGAGAGCGAGTATAGCCTCTGGTAGATGGGACAAGACCATCTCTCTTATTATTATTTGGTTTTCGCTCGGGACGCCTTCCAAGGCAATACAAATGGTGGAGTGGAGGATTACGAACTTTTTCTTCTGTTTCCAAAACACACAGGCTAAATCAAAGAAAGAGCAGAAGGCAGATCCACAATGCCCGGCGCGTAAGCTCTGGCTCAGTCCCGAGGCATTCGTCCCTAATGAAAACTCAAAAACCCCAAAAAATAAAAACACCTGACAGCTCACAGACAGGCCGAGCTCTGCCCCGCGACTCACAATGGCTCTCTGTTAAACTCCGAGTCTGTACAGCCTGGCCACCAGCACAAAACCGTCGACACCCACGGAATAAAGTTCCCATTACCTCACAGCAGAATCCATCACTGCTTTTAAGGAGGAACTCGGCCCTGTTGGGACTCCACCCACCTCAGAGAGGCGAGCTGCTGTCATAATGTTTGGACGGGCCAGCTGCTCTCCCCATCCCAGCAAACTGAGGCCTTTCAGAGAACGCGGAGCTTCTGTTTACGGAGATGCGGCGTATCCTCCCGACATCTCGCTTACAGATGGCACTGAAGTATTCGAGAGGATGAGTGGACTTAGTTTTCGCCAAAGCCGTGGGATTCGTGCCAAAAAACCGAAGGGAAATAACATAAGAAATCCCTTGGAAGAGAAATGGGGCGAGATGCCTCTGTTGTAAATTAGGGATAAACTTTCCTGTGTAGCAGTGTGCATGCATGGGCCTCGTCTCCCGAGGCCATGCACCTGGGCTTCATCTCTCCGAGTCTGAGGCCCAAAGCGCTCAGGGGGACGGGACGCTCGCTGAAATTCATAATCGTGGCGACTCTGCCAAAGCAAATGCGTCCAGTAAAAGTCAAGCAGGTGGAGCGAGACAGGAGCTCTCCCTCGTAGAGCGAAATGTGCAAACTATCTTATAAAATATTGTTGTAAACTTGATCTCGGTGTGGTTCGAGTGACTGTGGCAAAAACAATGCGGAATAAACTAGACCACTTTGGCTCCATCGCTCGCATGGATTGTCGTGCATTAAACAGTTGCAATTACTTCCAAACTTTTTACTGTTGTGGTGCAATTAATACAGGCTTTTCCAACTCGTTTGGAAGTCAGTTGCTTGGCACTTCAAAAATAGTCATGAACAAAATAAACACTGCAAAGGCTTTATTGATGCAATCTGTCATCAAAGATAGTCACCATCATATCATTATTCTTTAACAATGGTACAGTTTTGTTCCCTATTTACTTCTAAAGTGTGCATATTAGGACCTTAAAGGAGTAGTTCACTTTTACTCACCCCCATGTTATCCAAGATGTCCACGTCTTTCTTTCTTCAGTTGAAAAGAAATGAAGGTTTTTGATGAAAACATTCCAGGATTTTTCTCCATATAATGGACTTCAATGGGAACCAAACGGTTCAAGGTCCAAATGAGAGTTTCAGTGCAAGCTGCAAACTGTTCAAAGGGCTTTAAACGATTCCAGATGATGAATAAGGGTGTTATCAAGCGAAACGATCGCTCATTTAAAAAATAAATAACAAAGTTTAAGTTTTATGAGCTCAAATGCTCGCCTTGCTCTGTTCTGTGATGCGCTTTCGTGACTCTCCTGTTCAAACTCGTTCATCAAAATCAACTAATTTTTTCCAGAGTCAAATCTTGACATGAAGAAAGATTCGTTCATTTTGATGAACTAGTTTGAACAGGAGAGTCACGAACGCGCATCACAGAACAGACCAAGGCGAGCATTTGTGCTTTTAAAGCTTAAACTTTGTTATTTATTTTTATAAATGAGCGATCCTTTCGCTTGAGACCCTTATCCATCGTCTGGAATCGTTTAAAGCCCTTTGAACAGTTTGCACTGAAAGTGTCTTTTGGACCTTGAACCGTTTGGTCCCCATTGAAGTCCATTATATGGAGAAAATCCTGGAATGTTTTAATCAAAAACCTTAATTTCTTTTCGACTGAAGAAAGAATGACATGGACATCTTGGATGACATGGGGGTGAGTAAATTATCAGCAAAAGTTTTTTTTAAAAAAAGTGAACTACTCCTTTAAAGGAACATTTCAATAGTTCCTATCTTAGGAACAGCTTTTATAGGAAGTGTACGATGATTGGCCTGAACGCATGCGCACCGACCATTTTTAAAAACTAGTGTAAACACAGTTTATAGGCTACGGTATGCATTTACTCCACACACACACAAAACAGCAAGTGATGGGCTGATGTCGATGTTACCCTACGGAGGAAGGATCAAGCGAAACATGAATATGTATTTCTGCTCCGCTAGCGCCATCGGTCATCAACCACACGGCGAACGCTACTATATTTTTTTGTAAACCAGTTACTTTCTTTGTTTAACAGTTTTATCCAACAGCATATTAGATAAAAATAAAAATATCATAAATTAATGGCGATCTCAGCGCCGTCAAAATAAAAGTCCTACACAACAACAAGGGCTGCGTTTTCCAAAAGCACCGTTAGTGGGATTTGTTCTAGGATCAACTTAGGCTTGTGATACTTTACATCACTTCAGAGATTCGTACTGTCAGTGTGAATGCAACCAGGAATATGGCACTAGGGAAACGCCTATAACTAGTAAAAAATCCCCTATTATTACCTAAACTGTCCATATTAGTACCCTTTGAAATGATACAACCATTTTTTTTATTTTCGGAGAAAAATATTATAATATTGTGGTTGAGATATGTTGCAATATACAGCATAATAAAGCAATCCATAGACACAAACAAACTATGAGAAATGCAGCAAAAGTGAAAGACCCGAACTAGCCAATCTAAATCGGATACACTAAATCATGTGGACTTACTTTCCCTGAGGTAATTGAGATGTGAGAGCAGGACCTCCGTGTTATAAACGCTGGTAAGTCTCAGGAAGTCCTCTTTGCTCATCTTGCAAAGCTCTTTTCCATCTGTGTTGTGGAACATGGCTGTGTCGATCTCCTGAAGACCATACTCTTTAATGGCCCAGTCTAACCATTGCCGCACATGGTCTGGAGACCAGAGAGAAGGGTCTGAGATGGCAAACACAAAATAAAGCCACACATTAGTGGAGACTCAGGCAAGCAGCTTACATTGGTTTAAAGGAGTAGTTCACTTTAAAAAAAAAAAAAAACCTTTGCTGATAATTTACTCACCCCCATGTCATCCAAGATGTCCATGTCTTTCTTTCTTCAGTCGAAAAGAAATTAAGGTTTTTGATGAAAACATTCCAGGATTTTTCTCCATATAATGGACTTCAATGGGAACCAAACGGTTCAAGGTCCAAATGAGAGTTTCAGTGCAGCTTCAGACGATTACAGATGATAAATAAGGGTCTTATCTAGCACCCTTCGAGTCATGACTCGAAAAAAGATTTGTTCAATTTGATGAACAGGAGTGTCATGAACACCAGAGTCAATTGTCGCACGTTCGTGACTCTCCTGTTCAAACAAGTTAATCAAAATGAACGAATCTTTTTCCAAGTCAATTCGTTTGTTTCGTTTGTTGAATGAACCAAATGACTCGTAAAAAGATTCGTTCATTTTGATGAACGAGTTCGAACTCACAAAGAGAGTCGCATATGCGCATCACAGAACAGAGCAAGGCGAGCATTTGTGCTTATAAAACTTAAACTTTGTTATATATTTATGAAATGGCCGATCGTTTCGCTTGATAAGACTCTTATTCATCGTCTGGAATCGTTTAAAGCCCTTTGAAGCTGCACTGAAACTCTCATTTGGACCTTGAACCGTTTGGTTCCCATTGAACTCCATTATATGGAGAAAAATCCAGGAATGTTTTCATTCATTTCTGTTCGACTGAAGAAAGTAAGACATGGACATCTTAGACGACATGGGGGTATCGGTACACCCTTAATGTTGACGGACAATGAATACCTGCTGGGACGATAACTCTCCTCTCATTGGTTGTCATGTTTGGAGGCGGAGCACACTTCTCATCCATGTAGCCAGTATAGTTCATCTGAGATGTGTCGGTCCCTCCCACCATCTTATTGCATTTACCCACACTACAGTCCACCGGGGACTCTCTGCCGGGAAGAGAAAGGGTTACCGCTTACTAACGCTCATCTCAGACAGAACAGCAGAATAATGCTCTTGACAAATAAGGAGGTACCTGGATCCATTGATGTGGTCATATTCTCGTTTGACGTTAACTCGCACAGGCTGGCTGATCCACTCCTGCTGAGGAGGAATAGGGTTGATCTTGTGTGTCTGGGCGTAATCCTGTGTGCCGGACGCGGTCATGTCCGTCTTGGGTAAAGGAGCAGCAGAAGCGTATGGAGGCTCAAACAGAGACTGGTCTTCACTCACCACTGACAGCGCCTCCTGGAGGATTGAAGAGCGCACGCTATATCACTGTTTCTCATTAAAGCACATGACAAATGACTTTCAGTTCATCGTGTGTAATCAAGGAAAGCAACACACATTTCTAAATCGTTTCTCGCTGAAGGGCATTAGAACCACGGATGCGGAGCGCAAAGGAAGCAGTGCGATTGATTGCTTTCGTAGATTTAATATGTGAAGTCAACACGAAACACAGTTGTACTTGTATGTGAAACTGATATTCAATACAAAAACAAAATGAAAATAAATTGTAAAAAAGGACCACTAGGCATTGATGGGATTGTGAAGAGTAGGAATTGCATCAGGTTTTTGAAGGGGAGGAGTTAAAAAGAGGGATTTGTGGTGTCATATTTCAGAGGTGGAGCACAGTAAAATCAGGAACTTGCATTGGAAAAGTAAACATTGCACATTTTGATTTAATGTTGACTTCACAGTTTTGTGTATCAGGTGCATAGAAATAAAATAACGACAACGACAACAATAATGATAATAAAATCCAGCCATTTACTTCAGAGTTATGATTGGGAAAATAAACACAACATTGACTTTTAAACCTTTTGTTTCCGAGAAGAATTTTAAAATGCGACTTTCAATAAGCACAAGATTTCTTGTTCATGACTCATATGTGAGACGGAACAGAGGCAAGGTCACTTCTACATTTGCTCTCGTTGCAGGCGCTCAGCTGGGGTGATGTAGTTTTATTAAAGAAAACAAACGCGGCAGACAGGCTCCTCTGGAGAGATCCGCGTCTACACGTGCATGTGATCGTCTCCATTCACTTCTCACTCAAAGCTTTCTTTCAGTTTCGTGAAGACTATCTCCAATCAGTCGCCTAGATCTCCCTCTTATTCCAGTTACAGACACCTGTAAAACTCGTAACTTCCACTGAACTTTATACACTCAATTTTGGGTAAAAAAATGGACAAACCCAGCCATTGGGTTTGGGGATTTGCATTTTTAAATTACATTTTTAACCCAATGGCTGGGTTTGTCCATATTTGACCCAGAGTTTGGTTAAAACAACCCAGCATTTTTTAGAGTGTATCCTTGATAAATGAGAAAATTCACCTTTAAAAAAAAACATTCATAGGCTAAAAGACGTTCAAGAGTGATTTTGGAGATGATACTGTTTGATAACTAGAGAATGCTTCCTCTTTAGTATTTTTTAATCAGAACATACACTCTGAACAAAAATGCTGGGTTATTTCAACCCAAATTTGGGTCAAATATGGACAAACCCAAATGTTGGGTTAAAGAATGTCATTTAAAATGTTAACTTTCACTTTACATTTTTAACCCAACATTTGGGTTTGTCCATATTTGACCCAAATTTGGGTTGAAACGACCCAGCATTTTTTCAAGTGTACATTCAACAAAGCATGCACTGTAAAAAATGCTGGGTTTTAACCCAGTTTTGGGTAAAATATGGACAAACCCAGCCATTGGATTTGGGGGTTTACATTTTTAAATTACATTTTTAACCCAATGGCTGGGTTTGTCCATATTTGACCCAAAGTTGGGTTAAAACAACCCAGCATTTTTTAAAGGTATATCCTCAATAAATGAGAAAATTCACCTTTAAAAAAACATTTATAGGCTAAAAGATGTTTGAGAGTGATTTTGGAGATTAAGGCTTTGATTCTGTTCGATAACAAAATAATTTTCCTCTTTGGTATTTTTTAATCAGAACATAAAAAATGCTGGGTTGTTTCAACCCAAATTTGGGTCACATATGGACAAACCCAAATGTTGGGTTAAAGAATGTCATTTAAAATATTAACTTTCACTTTACATTTTTAACCCAACATTTGGGTTTGTCCATATGTGACCCAAATTTGGTTGAAACAACCCAGCTTTTTTTCAAGTGTACATTCAACAAAGCATGCACTGTAAAAAATGCTGGGTTTTAACCCAATTTTGGGTCAAATATGGACAAACCCAGCCATTGGGTTACATTTTTAAATGACATTTTTAACCCAATGGCTGGGTTTGTCCATATTTGACCCAAAATTGGGTTAAAACTTAGCTTTTTTTTACAGTGCACACTTGTTGAATGTACACTCGAAAAAAATGCTGGTTTGTTTCAACCAAATTTGGGTCAAATATGGACAAACCCAAATGTTGGGTTAAAGAATGTCATTTAAAATGTTAACTTTCATGGGTTTGTCCATATTTGACCCAAATTTGGGTTGAAACAACCCAGCATTTTTTTTCGAGTGTACATTCAACGAGTGTGCACTGTAAAAAAAAATGCTGAGTTTTAACCCAATTTTGGGTCAAATATGGACAAACCATAGATTTTTAAATTACATTTTTAACCCAATGGCTGGGTTTGTCCATATTTTACCCAAAATTGGGTTAAAACAACCCAGCATTTTTTAGAGTATACTCAATAAATGAGAAAATTCACCTTTAAAAAAAACATTTATAGGCTAAAAGACGTTTGAGAGTGATTTTGGAGATTAAGGCTTTGTTCGATAACAAAAGAATGTTTCCTCTAATCAGAACATACACGCTAAAAAATGCTGGCTTGTTTCAACCCAAATTTGGGTCAAATATGGACAAACCCAAATGATGGGTTAAAGAATGTCATTTAAAATGTTAACTTTCATGGGTTTGTCCATATTTGACCCAAATTTGGGTTAAAAACAAGTACAGTGTACATTCAATAAAGCGTGCATTTCACAATTAACCATTCAATCTCTGGCTATAGGGGGTTCTTGGGACACTCCATCATCAGTTATTAAATTTCCCTATTTGTTTTTTCCGAACTTTGATGACAGTCGTCATCAATTGGCTCAGTGTCCCGCGGACAGTATCGGGGCGACCCACAGCAGCAGGCCGGTGGCACGATAAGTATGGCAGAGTCAAGGAATGCCTTCATGCTGCCAGATAAGGCCAGAGCTGCTATTATGACTGTTACACGTTACTTACACGCAGACATATCAGCCTCCACCATATAATTCATGATTGGCAGTCAGTCTTTCCCAAGATTACAGAGGGCTGTAAAAATAGGAAAATCTAATTCCACACTCACGCTCGTACATACGTACAGACGGGCCTGTCAAAAGGCGAAATTCCTTCAATGGTCAGCGCACAAGTGCACGCTTCTTCTTACAATGAGGTTAAAATACTCACAAAGGTGCCAATTTCCTTGAGCTATAAATTGGCCGTGTCTGCATGATCCAGAACCACAGGGTTACACTGGTTCGGCGTTGCAGATTTACACCGAGCCGTATTAGAAATTCCATACCGTCGTATATTAGAAATGATCTCTATTTTGAACAAAGCATGTGAGAAATGTAATAGCCACGGTCAACACAGAAGATGAGTCATTATGTCGGGATGTACGGGCACATTAAAAGCAAAGTGCTATTTTATACAGAGGCCATTCCTGTCTTTTGTTTAAGGAGGAAAAGGAAACCTGACAGGAAACCAGATTGTAGAAACAGGAAACACCCATGGATTGAGACACCCTCCTCATTGTCGACTAAAGTGAACAGTTAGAAATCAATCAAGAGAGCTATCCGAGGCAAATTCCACAGGACTAACACACACATTCATGATAAGATGCAATTATAAAAACAAATAATTGATAACGACATCCCAAGATAATTAAGGGTCATACATTATATTAGCTTCCATATATATATATATATATATATATATATATATATATATATATATATATATATATACACAGTATATATGAGGGTTGTTCGTGCAATGATTTGACACTGAACACTGGAGTATGGCTGATGAAAATTCTATATAATAAATTCTAAAATTATATTATAGTAAGAAATACATTATATTTTAAAGTATATTACAAGATTATATTACAAGTATATCACAAGTATATTACAAGTATTTTTTAATGTTTATTTAATCTTTAATTTATATATATATATATATATATATATATATATATATATATTACAAGTAAATTACATGTATTTTAAATGTTTAATTTAATGTTTAATGTTGGAGTATTCCTTATGAAAATTCAACTCTGCGTCAAATATTTTAAAAACATTTTAAATCAATAATATTTCACAATATTACTATTTTTGATGACCATAAGAGACAAAACATTGAAAATAGTAATGTTTTGAACAGTGCAATACACATATAACTTACATAAGATTAGTGTTCATCCAAATATATTATATTATTTAAACTGAGTTATGATTATGCTTTATTCAAATTTGAATTAATTTTCTAAAGATACGTAGCTACAATTGTAAAGTACATAGAAATTCATTATGTTGGAATTGTTATACTACTACTACTACTAATAATAATAATAATATGCTATATTAACAAGTAATGCCAACAATTATCATACAATAACATATTGTTTTCTCAATGCTATCAACGATAATATGCCCTTTGCATTAAAATCGTCCTCAGTCACCCCACTGCAATCGAAACAGACTCTTTAACATGATATAATCTAAAACAAGCATAATGTGTACGGCCCCAAACATATACCACACCCAAAACCACTTATATGACCGCAAAAAAAGGAGTGTTTGGATGTGCTGCCCTCCCCTCCTGCAAGAGTCAACAATTAATCAGTGATCATTACCTTATTTGATGCTCGTAACATTTAATTCAAATATTGATAGTTGTTATTAATCAGAGATGGGGATTATCCGTTTAAACAACAGTCCACGCTAGATTAGGCTACTGTAAATATCGAAATGCACAGAATAGCGGCGTGGACCACACACTAATTCTTCTAAATGGAGCGCAAGTTTTGTTGTTGTTGTTTTACTATATGGACTGTAGTCTTTGTGTACGCACAACCCACGAACACACTATAGCAATTATTATCAGTTATCAGGAGGGAAAGAACGTGGAGTGATATTTTGCTGTGGGTGGGCTCGGCTTTTGAACAATATGAATGGTTGGAAAACCTCGGCACGGTGCCACTCCAATTGCGCAGCCACATCTCCAGCCTAAAGCTTTATGATTTA